AACGTTGAGATCTCATATGTTGCAGGATATTAACTAGAAGAAATCTAAAATATGTCCTTTCAAGAAGAACAACGTATAGGAACAAATCCTTTTCGACTTTTTCTAGTCTCATTGATACGTACTTGTGAACAAAATAATTAATTGATTGACGCATCACACTTGCAGATTGTCTCTTGTTAGTCGGTTCAACTTATTTAACATTTTTATAGTTTCATATTCATAACTATTATTTTGATTAGCTTTATTATGATGTATAGTTTTCGAAATCTATTAGAATACTATCAATCTATTCATCATATGTTACAAATTTTCTATCAAATTTCATAGAAAATGAATAAATGTATATATTGTCGTTTCAGATTTAGAGATAATCTATTTTGTTTTTGTGATTGAATATTATAAATAAACACCTACTTAATAAAACAGTGTATCTCGTAAAAACAATCTTGTTGATATGATATATTAATAAAAAAAAAGGGTAATTATCTTGAATCGAAGATACTTGAGATGTTTTCTTTCTGTCGATAATTATATGAATCGTTTGAGTTTATGACAAATGTCATTTATCCTTCACAGACAGTAATACTAGTAAGTGTGTCAATCGTTTTGACAAATGCTACTAAAGCCTATAAAGTTTCTGTGGGACTTTTTTTTTTCTATGCATATAATAACAAAATCGGATGTCATTGGTCGCTCATGTTGGATTTTTCAGAGTTGATAGAACGCGAAAAGAAAATTCATTACAGTAGTAAATAAATATACGTATTTCCATCTAAAAAAAAAGAAAAGAAAGAAGATCATTGTCGTCAATGAATAAGACTATAAAAAAAACTAATATATTTGTCTCATTGCTTGATTGTCTGAAGATTTTTCTATTCTAAGACGAGATTATTTTGACTAAAAACAATATTCTAGACAAGAAAATGACAATCACAATTGCCATTGATTGACAGATATACATACTATTGAATTGGCCTATTTTTGTATCTTGTCATTCGTCTTTTGTTATTATTCGTTCAAACGACTGTTGACAACATACATAAAGTATTTATACAATAATAACAATAAAATATCAACAAAATGTTTCATATCTTTCGTTGGCGTCGTGAACGTAAAAGTGACAAGAAAACAACATCTGATCCGTTAGTTAGTGAAGAATATAAAACACAGCATGCTCGGCAACGTCGCTCACGGAAATCATCTGAAAGTCAATCTCATCAAACTTTATTTCATACAAAAAAAACTCGATCATCTTCTGATAGTGATAAACGTCAGGTAGTTATTGATTAATCTTTTAAAGATTTTTTTCTATTGTATAATCATTTGCAATTTTATCATGCGAGAAAAGATGTTTGATAGTTATTGAGGTGTAAAGTTTTAGATAATTTCTGGAACATTAAAGAGAAAAATAATGATTGTTACTTGTTGCCTTAGGAAGAGATTTGACGTGCACTTTAACGTGTTCAGATGTACACTAAATGGCATTAGTTACCACTCGTATTATCAGACCTCGTCAAGTAAAAAAGGTATTTATTGTTGTAACTTTGTTTACATAGAATTTAATATCAAACGATTTCATCAAGAGTGATTAAGATAAATTTGAATTGTTTTTTTTTTCTTTACATGAATTTTATCAAAAGAATTTTTACAATCTTAACATCTTCTTATTGGAAACAGGTAAGAGTTATAATAATTAATAGTAATAGAAAGTTTTTTGATTTATCACACATCGTTATTTATTTATTTATTTATTTCTATATAGTAAAATAATGAGATTACATTAGGAGAAGATTTATGAATGCTAGTTGATTATTCTCAAGTATTGTTAATCATATTTTGATAAGATTAAATAATGAATTTAAATGAGACAATTTTAATCATATGTTGTTTTGTTTTTTATTCAAGCATTACTAAATATTGTAATGAAAAAAGAAAAGAATGTTATTTGTAATGTGTTAGAATGCAAATGAAAGAGAAATGTACGATAGATATCTTAACTTTTACTAGTCTCTTCCTTCTTGTATTCAGTACAAGTAGTAAAAAATATTACAAAAACCATTCACAATAAATAGATCGAGACAAAGAAATATCTATTTATAATAATGACAAAAGGATCTCAGAAGACATTATATTCATTGCTTATTAGTGTCATTTCATGAACCGTCGGAACAATGAGATTGTGATTTGACGTCATGTGTAAATATGCTTTATTAGATTGACAAGTGAATGACATCATAATTGATTTAAGGAATGGATTATTTCTTTCTTTCTTTCTTCAGAATAATTCATCATAAGTTGGTCATTTCTTCTTTGTTTTTTTGCTTTTGTTTTGTCATTATTAATCAACATTAACATGTTCACAGTGATCAATTATTTTCTAAGAACTAATATGATCTCATAAATTGTTATTCTTTTTTTCTTATTTCTCTCAATGTCATTTTATCTTAAACTTAAGTAGAGAAAAAACCTAGATAATGTACTTATTACTATGATTTTGTTATGTTAACGATAACTTGATCAATTATAGTAGTCATCGACTCAATTATTTAATAAAAAAAAACACAATAGATTCTTCTCACCCAAACTATATGAATACTCTCTATAAATTAAACATTCATTTTTTATTCTATTTAAGAAAGTGCAATACTAACGGATAATTGTTTTAGTAGTACGACTTTATTTGTTTATTGTATTATTGCATAATTCCGAGGATCAATAAGTATAGTTGATATACAAACAATTATGCTATTACATAGCGCAGATATATCATAACTAATCTTTTCTTTATAAGTCATGCTGAATCTTCGTCGTGCTCTCGGCTTTCAAAACGATATCTTGTTGAAATAGTTTGATGATGGATGATCGAAAGAGTAAATCTCATTTAAATCGAGTGACATATTAATTGATTGCGATTAGAATTTAATAAGCTTTATGTTATATAAACAAATCATACTGCTCTATCATCATCATTAATCTAAATGACAACATCGGAAACTAATAAAAATATTCTAATTTCTAACTATGAGTTTGACATGATGTCTATTGCAATATAACTGATAATATTATTTTTCAATTATTAGATACTTAATCATGTAAATTTTTCTGTGAAGAGTGCAGGAAAAAAGAAGTGATTAATTATGTTGATAGTACGATTTTTCTACAGTTACTTACTGAATTGAACAGAAAAAGTGGAATAAAATGTGATGATAATAATTCTATACTAGCCCAAAATGTCATAATTATCGATTTTTTAAAATTATTATGTTGTCATATGACATATAAATAGAAAAAAAAATAAATATAGTTTTTAATCATATGTCAATTTAAAAATATAGATATTTAATAATACGTTAGAAAATGTTAAAAATGAATAAATGAAAATTATATACTGTCTAACATATAATCGATGAAAACAGTTCTATGTAACCTCTATTACACAAATGATAAATCGCTATTTCCAGCTATTTTATAAGTTGACTTCATTTATAACTTTTGTTGACACACAGTTTATTAAGTGAAAAGTATCTTTATGTCATAGTGCTAGACTTTGTGCAACTTCATATGGATATACATAGAGAAAGAATGTACTTTCATTTATATATATATATATACAGTTGATTTGTACTGGATCGATAGTCTATGAAAATTTTTATTTAAATATTATTTATTTATTCATATTTTGTTTTTCGACAAATGTACTCGAGAAAAACCATGTATGTAATTACTTCATTATCCAATCTCTGTGTTAATGACCTTTTGTATAACTATTCTAAGTTTTGTCTACTATGAAGGAACATATTTATCGATATATATATATATATATATAAGATATTTCTATGCCATTTTGTGTTTCCATAATATTCGAAATGACAATTCAAAAAAACTACTTCATATATTATCACCTTTTGACACTGATTGTATAATTAGATCAATCATAAAAATTATCAGATTCTTCTATTTTGACTTGTAACCAAAAAAAAGACAAGAGAATCCAATTGTATATTTCTATGTTCCGTGTATCATTATCATCTTATCTTCCATACAACACATTGTTTTCCTTCTATCTCTTTTCTCTCTCATTGGTTTTGTGTCACCATCTCATCAGAATAATCATCAACCGTATTATTAGAACGCCTCTTCATACGGTAACAATAACAACGTATGATATCGAGATATAATACATATAAGAACGAATGAAAGAATGATTATCATTGTCTATAAAAATGATTGCCACAAGATTAAGTTCAAGACGAAGGTCAACTGCAATTTTCTATCGACCAAATGTAATAAATATTCGATACACATCATCTGATCTACGTCATCATCGTGCACGAAAACTACCTTTAGATGATATTCCAGATACTGATAGTGATATCGATGAAAACAGTGAAGAAGTTCATGAGAGCACGAAGGTAGAAAAAAAAGATTATTATTATTATTATTATTTATTTATTTATTTTCTAACAATAAAATTTCTTTATAATGAAATAAATAATACTGATTTTTTTCTTATGTTTTTTTTTTTTTTTTGATATCTAAAATCGTAATCATCAATCATTGATGATAAGACAAATCAGAGCATTTTAAAGAATGCTATTTTTTATACTTGCCCATGTCAATTATTGAAAGAAAATTTTTTTTGCGAAATGAACTTTTTTCTTAGCAAAAAATAATAAATAAATGATGATCACATTTTTTTTTTCCTCTATAAAAAAAAGCAATTATTTGAATGTTACCATTTATCTAACTGAATGTATTCTCTTTATAGTTGCACATTGACGTTGATTTACGTGACAATTTTTGTCAAAAATAGTGGGTTTCTTTTTATTATATGATCGTTAATGGTTCGAAACACTTAAAAGCAAGAGAATAGAAAGAAATGTTTAATGTTCATTTTTGTTTTGTTTTTTTTTTTTTTTTTGCAAAGAAAGAAAAGCTTTACTTTTCTTTTTTGTTTTGTTATCAATCGTGTACATACACGTATATAAAAATTAAAAGTAATGCATTTTCTTTATAAACCATCCGATAAAAATCAACCAACACGTCAATTAAATTCATTTTGTTCATCACAAAATCGTTTTTCTTTATCTGCTTATTCTAATCTTGGATATAAATCTACATCTGATTTAACTGTTGACACACATTTTGTTTATTCAATTGAACAACAACGTGCATCTGAGAATAATTCATATGTCATATTTGAATTGAGAGAAATATTTCATGTGTTTTGTTTTTATTTTTGTTAATTTAGTTTAAAATTCCTGATCGATCATCACATGCATTACAAATACGTTCAGGTCATACGAAATATGGACGTATGCAAGCACCTATTCTGTCATTTGATGAAGAAGGAGACATTCCATTACCTGACAAGAAAAACAAACGTATGTAGTTATATTTTATTAAATCTTATTTTCGTAGAAAATATATTTTGTTTAGTTCTTCTCTCACCTGATGATACACAGCTTAGTGATTCACAAAATCAACTGACGACTTTAAGTCCTGGTAGTATATCAATTGAAAGAACACGAAAAGACAGATTTCGACATGCTCTTCGAAGTGTTTCAAAAGTAGCTTTTAGTCAATTAGGATTAGGTAAGTTAATAAATAGAACAAATGTTATCAAAGTATAATAAAAAGAAGGAAAAAAACCGTGTTTCTTATTTGAGAAAATGTATAATCAATAAAGATATTACTTTTATATTTCTTAAGCTCTTCACAACTTCAGTAAGATTTCTAAGTGTTACGTAAAGCTGTTGTTATTTAATTTTCTCTCAGAGATTTTTTTTTTCTTTCGCCATTACATTTTAAATTTCTTTGTTTTTTTGGACTCGTATTGCAATAATTTCAACGTATTATAATATAAAAGCGAATAGAATTCAAAACGAGTTCGTATAAATACATGCCAACAACATGTTATCATAACAATATTAATATTCTGGCTTTTTTCTTCTGAGTTTTTTCTAGTTACATAGATAACCATTAGGTTGCTATCATTGTTAATCGACGAGTACAGAACAGTAACAACTTCCACAAACAAGCCAAAAAGAAACATTCTCCAGAAACTGCAAAAATTCTTCGAATGGCTAATAATACTATTGCAGTATTGTACCTTTTCTGACATTTCTGAAGTGATCGATGATAAAATCAGTATGTCGAAAAAGAACGAGAGATATTTTTTCTGTATACTCCTGCGAGCAATATTATCTGTGCTTACGTCGTTGTCAATGACATCTGTAACTCGTCTCTATCAAATATGAATTTATGTGTCTAGCTAGAGTAAATTTTTTATACAAGATATTGATTCATCAGAATGAAGATATAAGATAACGAACTCAAAGAATTTTACGCGATAATTATCTGAAACTATTCGATATTAATATCAAATTTATTAGTGATTTTATGACACTAATATAAAATGAAATAATATCTCATGTTTAATATTGTGATTAAATAAAAAGAAAATTTTCTTATATGAGTTTTCTGAATAAATATAAGCTAGTTTTTGAATTGAATAGTTTCTTCACTCAAAGTATGATTAAATATAAAACTCGACTAGAGTAATGTAATTGAACGAATATGTTTGCAAACTCGTCTTAAAACAACACTAATTAACTGAATAAAATATAGTGAAACTTCATCGTGTTCTACTCTCTACATTCGTGTTCCCTTTTTTCACTTGGCTGATATTATTGACACAAAGAAAAAAAATAAGGAACATCAATATAAAGATCTGCAGTTTTCAATATTCAAAAGAGAATATCAGATACAAATGTGATTAGTTCATTAGCTGATCATTTGAGATGAGTTTTTGAAAACTTTCAAGTTGAACTTCGACTTCTATTCTTTTCTATTCCGATCTACATAAACATGACGGGTGTAAATTGTTCTGTTCAAGAGTTAGATGTGTTTTTCAAAGACTCTTAATTTCTACCAAATGATCCTGGAACACTTCGAAAAAAATCAAGACAGAGATAATTCACTACACTTAATCCAACTATAATTTTTTTTCAGTTTCAAAGTGGTTTAATCCATTATACTAAGATTTTCAAAATCTGATATTTTATAGCTATGTCCGACTCAACGTGGTGAATTACTCTCATCTTGACTTCTTTCAGAGTGTTTCGAGTCGTTAGGCCGAAACTATCTTGTTTCTATCAAAAGTTATTCCACATGAAAATTATCAAAGAACTTTAAACGAGAAAAAAAAATATATATATATATAATTTATTTTTCAGGTTGTCTAGTAGTTGGTTATGTTATACTTGGTGGATTGATATTTGATGCAATTGAATCACGTTATGAACTTGAACGTTTAGAAGAAAAAGAACGAAATCGTCAACATTTTGTTGATCAATTATATATTCATGCATATAGAGAATTTAATCGTGTATTAAATCAAACATTTGAATTAAAATATGCTTTATGGCGTGGTGGTATATCGAGAAATGATGAACGTAATGATGGTTGGCAGATCGAAGTTGAAAAAGATTTATGGAAACATTATATTGATTATGAATTATTACAATATTTTGGTGCCGAAGAAAAAACTCAATATGGTAATGATCAGCAACAACAAGAACAAAATACAGTACAAGTTTGGACATTTTCTAGTGCTATGCTTTATTCCGCAACTGTTATTACAACAATTGGATATGGAAATATTACACCAAAAACTACTGAAGGCAAAATTGCAACAATGGTAAAATGAAATTCATTTTTTTAATCGAATTATAATGATAAAATATTGAGGAAATTCGAATAACGCAAAAAAAATCAATTCAAGATTTTTTGTTTTTTTTTTATTTGTTCAAATTAGATATCTCTATTGATCTTATTACAGTGCGGTCAAAAATAAAAGACTGACCTCCTTATAATATGTAATTTCTATAAGAAAGAGATAAACAAACAAAAAACCTACTCAATAGAATCGTTTATATTTTGAATACATTTCACTGTAAATAGAGACAAAGAAGAAATGAAACTGTATTGTGATACTAAAGTTTTCAAGCTATGTTTCTAGACATTCACAACTTAAGCTAAATCCTTAGTAGTATGAAAATATTCGTACAATAGGAACATTTCATATATATATATATATGGCATGAAGATGTACCATACTAATTTTGTTATTTCATTATTTGAATTTATGATCGATCATATGATGTAGATAGAACGTTTCAATAGCTAGGAAAATATGTCAAAATTATTGATCAATTTTGGTTTCATAATGAGAAACGAAGTACAATATAATAAAGAAAGATAGGATAGTAGTCAGCATAAAAGTCAAATAGTTCTATGAAAACGAAGTTTTTTTTTTTTTTCATAGCGAGTATGCCAGTAGTTCTATGGTTACATCAAATTTCTATCCAAAAGTAACTGTTACTGAGAACTTTTCTTGCTTTCCGATAAGAATATATTGTTTCAGCGGAGATTTTATCTTCAATGAATTTGTGGTTTGTCTTCAGTTATGATAACGATACCATTAAACTACAGGATTATTTTTTCTAGAGGTCCCAATTTTTCGGAAAATGTATATTTTTGAAATTTTCATCTGAAACTTTGTCCATATAGAGAACTCAACTAAATTGCTTTGGAGATACTACCATTTTATGTTATTTTTTTTAATGAATACCATAGTCGCTTTCAAGAAAACTGATTTTCGATTTTCAGTTCAAAGCTTTGTATAGAGATGAGCCTTAACGAGAGCAGTTTATTGTGAAAATTTCAAGTCGTTTGATTTGTTTCTATTCTAAGAAAAGAGTATCAAATTTGTCAGTGTATATGAACAATGTAAAAGATACACTTTTACCATAAACGCATCTTAGGACAAGTACAATGAAAATATTTGAAACTTTCCTAAGAAACTATTTTCTTTGAGGACTATCTCTGTACAAAAAAAAATCAAATAGAAATTCGAAAAAAAACAGTTTGTCTGTTATCACAGCATTCATTTAAAACGTACAGTATCTCCGCAGTAATAACCTAATGATACAAACTCTTGCCAGGATATTGATAACTTGTTTGGGTCTACAAGATGCACTTAGTCTCGACTTGACAGCGGTTTTAATTGTTGAAAGACTTCACTCGTTAGTCTAATCTGAATAAAAGCTCAAATCATTTTCGGATTTTTATTATAACATTGTGTAACATCTATAGGTAAAAAATTGTTGAAATCAGAATGAGACTATCCTAAGAGGCTTTCTTGTAAGCTCACGCTAATACAAAAAAAAACAAAGTCTAGAAGAGCGAAAATAAATAATTTTTTTAGGCTATCCTCCTATAGAAATGTTTCTATTGATACCTTAATTAAATTATTCATCTAGTAATTATCAAACTTCAGTACTTATTCATTTCTTTATAAAAAAAAAAACAATTTTGAGCTGGAAAATACGCATTGATTCTTTTGTTTAAAGTTGATTTTCTTAATTTGATTACTATAGATTTATGCAATGTTTGGTATTCCTTTAATGTTTATGTGTTTGACATACACAGGTGATTTATTAGCTGATGCTTTTATAACTGGTTATTCAAAAATGGTTAATTTTATTTATCGACAAATATGTTATCGATATTTAAAAGCTTGGTTACCCTTTAAAGGAAGACAAAGTTTTGAACAACCTGATGTATGAAAATTTTTCTATAGGAAAATTTTTTTTCAAATTTTCTTGTTTATTTTTTCTTTCGTTAGTCTGAACATGAAGAAGCTCGACATGTACCAATAGTAGCTACATTAGGTGTTCTTGCATTATATATCGCTATGGGTGCATTTCTTTTTGCTCAATGGGAAAGTTGGCATGTACTTGATGGAGCTTATTTTTGTTTTATAACATTTACAACAATTGGTTTTGGAGATCTTGTACCAGGTAAAGGTACAGTTACTGAATCAAAAGCAGGTAAAGCAGCAATGTGTGCATTATTTCTTTTATTTGGCATGATTGTTATGGCAATGTCATTTAAATTAATGCAAGATGAAATTATATCAAAATTTCGTAAAATTGCAAGACGTTTTGGTTTTGGAAAACGTCATAGAAGTGATCCGGGCTAAAAACAATCTAGGTTAATTTTATCAAATAGTTGCTTTTTTTTCTTTGCTTGTCTGTGATTTTCTATGCATGTTCTTGTTTTTTCTTTTCTTGTGTGCTCTTGTCTTTTGTATTTATTTTTTGTTCACGATAAAAATTCGAAAGTATCATCAATATTTTTATCATTTTTGTTTTTGTTTTGTTTTGTTTTTTTCTTTTGATAATACTGATATTAAAAATCTAGATTTAGACGTTTATGTACATAATGCGTTTGTTTTTGTACTTTATTTGACATTTAAAATAATAGGATTCTTTTGAAATAGATGACAGTAAAATAGATTTTTTTATGTTTAAAGATATTAATTTGAAGGTAGACTCAGTAAAATGAGATAATAGAAGTAACTGATTACTCAGAGAAATATATTCACTTGAGACTAGAAATTCATTCAAACTTCTTGAGTCATTTTTGTGTGAATTAATAAAAATGTTATTGAGGCACTTGACACAATAGTTTTTCTGTGAACAGCAAATTGAATTAAGGAGAATGCTACTAGACAATGTCAAAAGACCATAAAATCATAGCTTTTGACACATCGGAAATACTTTCTAGTGAGTCAAGAGTGAACAAATATCTTATCTAAAAATTCTTGATTACCCGTTACGAGCTAGAGCCACCAAAAGAATTAAACGGTTCATTCAACCATTCTCCTTTTTGATTATCAAATGCAGACATTCTTCTATATTTGTGACGCGATAATTCATTGATATAGTTTATCATCAATGAGATAAGTTTGAATGTATATCTACTTAAGCAGTAATGTTTTATAATGTGATCATCTTCAAAATGAAAAATCTATAAGTATTCAGTCAAATACGAATATAAAATATTTTCGAATTAATTTTGAACTTTTCGTTTTCATAGAGTATTGTCAGAAAATCGTTTATTACTTGTAGCACTTGACTTCATGAACTTTATTCCTTAGAAGATAACGCATGGCAGTGACGATATATGATAAATAATAAGCTATTAATGCATGATATTGTTATGAATCTTTTCAAATAAAACTTTATTGTGATCTTCTCTGTGAATTTTGAACATAATTGCATATGTATTTAAGGCTTCCGAAAAATGGTTCTAAGCAAGAAGAAAGCTCTTCTGTGCTTTTATAGAAATCTTATTATGTTCTTATATATTCAAGAATAGCTACTATGAAGCCTGTCTATTACTAATGAGAGACGTATCAGAGGTATTCAAGTCTGTTTTGATTCATTCGATAGATTATATTGAGATAAGATAAAGTGTTCAAGAAATCGGTTTTAAAGTCTATTGGCAAACAGTTATGACCTGTTTAGTAAAATTTTGCCTATGAATAGATTTAATAGTCATTAGATAATACTAGAAATTTCTGTGAAAACGAACATGTCTTTCTCAAGATATTCAATTTTCAGAAAAACAACAATTTACCATCGAAATACATAATAATCTAGTTTACTTAGAAATTGAATATCTTGAGAAAGTTATGTGCATTTTTGTTAAAACTTTCAGATTTATCTAATTACTATTAAATCTATTTATAGACAAAATTTCAGATGAGAAATCTTCATTTTGGTTTTTCCAAAAATGTCTCGCCCTGAAGAAAAGTTTCAATAAAACAGCCATAACTATTCGCTAGTAGGCTATAAATCCAAAAGTCTTACCAATCCATTACATGATGCATGCATGAATCAAAATGAAGATGGATGCCTCATAAGAAGAAATTATTTTTTTTAATTACTACGTAATGTATAGGATTGATAAGGTCATCGCTAGAGTAATTGAATATAATAATAGCTAGAATTAAGAATAGATCTTATACATTCGAAACTAAACATTTACAAACAGATCTTTAGTTGAACTTTTTTTTTTTATAGGTATGAAGCACCTGAATGTGCTGAACACAAGAAAGTCATGTCCTATAAACATCTCTAGAGACTTTTTGAAGAGCTCAAGCGCGTGTAATGATGACATTGACGGAAATGCTGCATGAAAAAAAACAATACAACCTTCACAGATTAATAGCATGCGTCCATTCCGATTGGAAGCTAGCGTGATAGTAATAATCCATTGTATCTCGTCATCTATAAAAAAAAAGGATCGAAAGAAATATCTGTAATGCATGAATCCACTTTTAATTACATGTTATATCTGCTTTTCAGTCTTATATTTAAAATGCTTTGACTCCTAATACCAACTCAATTTAAATAACAAAGATTGTAAGGGCATTTTTGGAAATTCAGTATCTTGATGAAAGAACTTCTTTTTTTTTCAGTTGAAAATTGCAGTATATTCTAAGATTCATTAGACATACCTATAGGCAAAATTTTTGATCAAAACTCCATTATTCAGTCTTCCTGGGGGATACCTAAAACTGAGTCAAAAATTTAGTAAGCCGATAATAACTCGTCGACAATAGCAATAGAAACGAATCCTTTCAGGGTTTTGTTATGCACACTAAGACCTGCTTGTGATCCACTATGAGCTCAAACGGCGTGCGTCACTTAAGCCAGTTCCCTCATGAACAGAACAATTATTATCGCTTTATTCTAGTTAATCATTCTAAATATACTCATTTATATGATGTTCATAATTTCAATACATGAGTTTCTTTAATTATACACATAACACAAATGCTTGTCTATGGAAAGAAAGTCATGCGCTATGAAGACATCTTGAGATCTGCATATGTAAAAAAAAAAACGTTTGACTTGGAATTTTTTCTTCAAATAAAAACATTTAGTTGTTTTTCTATATTTTTATAAATAGTAATCGATAATGAAAACTCATTTCAACCTATATATTTGATGATGTAATTTGAGATAAAATCTTAGAAAATCTATTAGTTAGAATTGAGATACTATTATATTGAATAGAAAGAATATTATAAATTTGTTTACAAAATACAAACAACGTCAATTCATACTCGATAGTAAAATTCTATTTGAAATTTTGAAATTTGTCAGAGGACGCTAGAAGTCGGGATAATGGATATTGACACTTATCATTCTATATTTATTTACCGAACGGTTATTCTTTTTAACCTATCAAAATTTTGCTCACACATATGTATATTTGAATTCTTTGTTCATATAATTTTCAATTTATATATTTTTTTTTTATAAATTTCTATTCGAGACAAATGATATTTTTATCACCTACATTTAAATAATTTAATGTCTAATGTTCTCAATAGACGAACTATTAATCGTTTGATATACATAAATGTTCATTGATTTTGACTGTGATTATTTCATTTACATTGTTTTTATTGTTAGCTGTCTAAATTGATGTCGGTTACTTGAGGGTAATCATGTACTCGGTCGTTGACTGTTTTTTTATACATATGTTTGCATATTTGCTTACCCCATTCGTCTGATTTTATTCTCCGAGTCTAACACGTGTACATACAAGTTTAACTTGACCTTTTATGTATATATATATATATATATGTTGAACATTAGCTTGTATGATAGAAAGAAGGAACATTTCCTTCTGTTGTCTCTGCTAAAATATCTCGAGAAAGAGAAGAGAATAGAAAAATGAACAATAGTATTTCCATCTTCTCATATTTAATTGGATACATATGGAAAAGAAGAAAAAAAAAAGATAATTCCTCTCTTGTTTCTTCATGGCCATTTCTCGGAGATGTTGAATCAGTTATAAAAAAAAGAAATCCTTGTCTTGTCTCATTTTCTAGATACATAACTGAATAAATTATATTTGCCTACGACAGAAATCCACACACATATACGAAGATATGTTATGCATCAACGACAGTCAACAAAACGATATATGTGACAATGATATTTTCATACAATTGTTACATGACGACAACAATGTTATAATACAAATGTGAAAAAAAAAAGTGAGACAGACAAGATGCTAAAACGTGCTTACAATTCTTTTATTCAGATCAGACAGACAATTTAAGATGTAATAGAAAAAAAAATTAGTCGACTGTCTACGACGGTCGTTCTTTTTCTTTTTTCTTTCTCTTTCTCGTATTATTACTTCTCTCGTTCATTGAATGTCAAAGAGAGAAGAGAGACGAAAAGAATTGTGTGTGGACGGAGGCCGAGAAGAAAACAGCATGATGATTTATACTGTACTATTGACCGTCGAGCTATTCACTACCCATCATTATGATTGCCCTTGAAACAGATACCATCTATAGGTTTTTTTTTCTCTATTCTATTGAAATAATTTATAGAAAAAATGCTTATAGTTATTTTGTTTTTTTTAAAAATAATCTCAAATTTCTTTCAATGAGCCATATTATAAATAAATATAAAAGAAATTTTGTCCTCTCTTTTCTTCTTTCTGTCGTTGTACAATTCGTTTCTTTTATTTGAACTAAAAATTTACCTATGCTGTAAGAATAAAACTGTCATCATTGTTAAATTCTTTTCGTATGTAAGCACAACCATACCATACGTATAGAGAGGTATAGAAATCAATCGAGCATCATTGGTGATTTACATTTCAATCGATGGTATAGTAAATAGACCTTAGTTTTTTCTTTTTCTTTTTTTTTGTGACTTCTCATTATTACTACTAATAAATCGTTTACGTTTCGATTTGAGAACAAACATTAATGATGACATTGGTTTTTATCATAAATAAATGTATATAAAACATTGAACAATTCAATATTCATTTCGTTAAAACAAGAAAAAGAAACGAATTGTTCACCTTCTCTCCTACATAGAAATAAATTTATATAAAATTTCATCATTTTTTTCATCTTATTCAATAGAATTGTAACATATGCGTAGTAGTATAAAGATCCGCCCACAATCCTTGATCATACATACATGATCATCTATTCATTTGTTTCATATATATATATATATATATTCAGATAATGATGTACAACAATAAAACAATGATTTAGATTATATATATATAATTATGTCCACATTTCAACAAAATCAATTGAATAGTTTATCTCCAATACTTTTATCACCATCATCAACAACAATAACAACAAATCATATATCATTATTTGATAATAGTGATCAAGGTTCAGTTGATTCTGATTATACATCATTAGGTAGTTCAAAATTTTATGCACATAGTGGTTCAACATCATCATTACAACATCAAGGACGTTCACAATCTATAGATGAATTAGCATCATCAATAACAACAAATATACCAACTAGACATTTTAATGGTTTATTAAATATAAATAAATCAAATAATGATCCATTACAATTTGTTAAAATTCATCCAAATCATGATTTAATTGAACGTGCACAAGAACAATTATCATTAGCAGAATCAAGAAAACGTTTACAAGAAAATTATGAATTAACAAATAAATCAAATGAAAATAAAATTAATGATGAAGAAAATGATTGGTCAAAGGTAAAATTAATATAAAAAAATAAATAATTCTATTTCATTACTTATTCATTGTTAAGAAAAGAAAATAATACATCGAGAATAAGGGCAACATTTTCAGTCCATTTAGTGAATCAAAACTTTAATAGTATATTTAAAAAAAAAAAGAAATTTTCTTATTTTGTAAGACTTATTTCTCCTTCATATATACATACTCAAACAAGGATTTCAAACATTGATAAATCAAAATATCTATCCTTACCACGACTGACTCATAATCTTATCATTTTGTTTTACTTGCTTTTACAAGGTATACATTAGACACATGTACTACTACTTAATTATGTTTCCATCTAATGCATTCATACAAACCAGAAGTAAGGCTAATGTATTACCTAACCTTGCATCAATAGCATTCAATAGTCTCCTTGTATTTTTGTTCTTGGCAATTCTCTATTGTTTGTATAAGAGATTACAAATGATTGTATCGTTCTTCTTTTAAAAAACAAATTTTTTAGGTGAAAAGAAAAAATAAAGCACATGAATTTCTATCGCCGTCATTTGTTATTGTTTAAATAAAGAAAAAAATCGTTTATAGGTTTCTCACTTGACATAGTTGTATCAAAGATCTGTATACGCATAAATCGATCGTTTTCTCGTATTCTTTATAAACAGTAAACAAAAGAGAAAGTAAAGAATATAAAACAAAAAAAGTTACATTCTTTCTTCTCTCCTAGTGTGCACAGCACCTGCACTCGAATATAAAATCAAAAGGAAAAAAAAAGAAAAAGAGAAAGCCTAAAATTGTAACATTGCAAATGAAAAGAAAAGATATGGTAGTCCTACAGTGTTCGCATTCATTTTTAAATCAATTAAATATGCCATACATTTATTGTTAATTCTTATAATGAATTTTTCAACAATACATCAAGCTTCAACAACTGTTCCTGTCGATAATATTATGTTCAATGAATCTCCATCACATTTAGGACAGATTGAAGTTTTTGAAGATTATTCACAAGTGCGTGTGTATTATAGTCAAGGTTATTTTTATAGAAATTAAGAAGCAACAGTCGTCTCATTACTTCTGTTATCTTGGCATTCTTTTTGTTTCTTTTGTCTTAGCTCAAAACAGCATACCCGTTCCTCTCTTTTGTCTGTTACTCATCATATAGAAAAAAAAAGAGAACCAAAAAAAAAAAAATACACGCATCAAACTTGATGAATTGTGTAAGACGAGTATCTATACAAGATAAAAAACAAAAGTGTATATGTATATGTAAGATGGGCTGTGGAAGTACGAAAGCAGCATTCGACGATGAAAAAAATGTGAGTCGCCTTATATGTAGAGAAATTGAAATCAGTATATCAAAAACAGGATAAACTTATAGATGTTCAATGTTTTCTTTTGTTTGAAGCCATTAGAAATGTCTAGACTTTTGCTTGATTAATAGAATTGAAATATTTTTAGGCTGTTGATAGTTGGCGAAAAAAACGTGAACAAAAACGTTTGAAAAATGTTAATATAAGTCATACAGATGATAATGAACAACCAATATCACCATTAAAAATTGAAACTGTTATAAAGTAAGATTAATATTAGATTGTTCTTTTTTTTTTTATTGTAAAAATTATTCAAATGTAGACCTGAACTAACCAAAAAACCAATAAATGAACCTGTTGCAAAACCTCAACGGATGTTATCATCACCACCAATTGTACCAATTAAACCAAAAAGTCCTTCACCTTTGCGTATTAAAGTAAAGAAAGACAAAATTTTTGACAACAAATGTTCTATTGTTTATAATAGGGTCCGGCTAAAATTCGTGAAATATTCATTGAAAAACCTATTGATATACGTGGATTTGGCTTTAAACTTGATGGTGGTCGAGTGCAAAGTCGACCAATTTTTATTTCAACCATTGAAGAAGGTTCAAATATTGAAGTTTATTGTTACATATAATTTATTATGCATTTTTTTAGGTAGTCCTGCTGATAAATCTGGCCTATGTGTGGATGATGAAATTATATCAATGAATGATGAAAATATTGAAAACATGACATTTGATCAAGTACGAAAAATTCTTAAAGAACGAAATCTACGTGGAAGTATTAAAATGGTTGTTAGAACATTTGAAGGTAAAATAGAGCTATTAACAAATGTATTGAAATATGAAGTAACATATGAAAATATATCTCAAATATCTTTAAGAAGTCAAATGACAGAAAATATTCAAATAGTTGACGATGTCAGGGTTAGTTACTTCTGATTTATGGGCTCGATAATGGATAATAAGGTACTTTGAAAAAGCATTCGTTATATATATATATATTCATCATTAAAAGATCATTAATGCTTTGTATTACCTTGCTCTGCATAGTAGATCTCGAACTTGTACGTTATTCTTTCTCAATTCTGTTTGATTTACCCATAAAACAACTATTTCAAATGACTTTCTCATTTATTATTCTTCACAGATGTAGTGGATGATCATTCTCAAACAATCACAGCAGGACCTACAACTGATCATAGTCGAACGCCATCACCTCAAAAAGTAATCTCTACTACAACAGTATCGCCGATATCTATTACAGCACCTAAAACAAACATAATGCCATTATCTACAACAAATGTTCAATCATCTGTTTCTACATCTTTACCATATACTTCATTGCCATCTGATACGACAAAAACTGTTCCAATACAACAAATACCTACATCATCTTTGAATATATTTGCACCAAAACCATTTCGTTCAACAACTTCAACTAATCTTGATACAAACAATAATCATGAATCAGTAGGAATTTGTTTTGTTTGTTTCATGAGATTTTTCTTCTATTCTCCCATAAACTCAGGAGTTAACATTTTCACGAAAAGAATTACTTACTTTAATGGTAATCAGCTTCTTTTTTTGTCTCTCATATAGATATATACACATAGTGCATGAGATGATAGGAAATTTTTTTTTATTGTGCTATTCTTGTTTTCCTATTGAATTCCATCAAATATGCATGGCTATTATTTTTGTATTATTCAGAATATGAATCGTTCATCGGCAATTGAAGCATTTCGAAAAATGCTTAATTCATCAAATACAAATACATATCTAAAGAATGAGGTAGTTGAATATGTGTGATACATAATTGCACGTCTTCTACTTCAATAACACAATAAAAAACACTGATCACAGCTTTTAGTATTTGATAAATAATAATTTTCGTTTTTTTTGTTCTGTCTGACTTAATATGCTTTTATTTTTAATCTAATAATAAAAACACACTACAGGGAATTTTAAAATAAAACAATTGATTATTATTATTAATTATGGGGTATTAGTGCACGTTTTTTTTTTTTTATATTTTATTTAAAAATGATGGAATTCAAATTATTATATATCTTAGTTTAATTCACTTGTTTTATTTTATTTTTAAAGAAATATATTATGTAGATTGGTCTAATTTATTTTTCAATCTAGAGTATTTATGATAAAGAACTTCAAGATCTCGAGGCTGAATTTGAAAAACAACTAAGAGGCATTGATGAGACACAAAAACAAGAGGTATCATTAGATCGCTTTTCAATTAGTATAGATAGCAATGTATTATTTTCTTTATTTGATTGTTTTACAACAACAACATACTAATGAATTCTTCAATGCTATGCATGATTATAACTTCTTTATGTTGTTTTGTTTGTTCTCATATTACACAGGTTTTTTCTTTCATTTTTTACAGACAACAATTAATAATGAAAAGCAAGAAACAAATATATATAAATCACCACCACGGGTCGTAGTTAATACACGTATGTTTTTCATTTTCATTTTGTTTTTCACAAGGTAACATTTTCAAGTTGAAAATCGCTTCTGAGTTCGGACTCTGTAGTTTAGAAACCTGCATTAAAGTCAATTAAATATCTCACTAATAAATTAGATTTAACATAAGAGGTTCTATGCGCATAAAAAGAAGTTGAAGTTAACTTTAACTCTGATTTTTCCTTACCTTTGTAAATTCCTAAGAAGTGTAGTATTGAATGTAATTTACTGATAGGCAATTTCGAGAAGCTTGATCACTGCTAAAAATGACTTCAATACAGGTTTCTACTGTATATGAAGTAGATCCCAATGATGTATTACAAATTCTAAAAAGATAAGGGCTTCTAAGTCTTCTCTACAGATTTATAACTGTTTTAATGGAATCTTCGTCTATAGTACAGTGTATAGTAGTGGACAAAAATTTAGAAAAGCTGTATTGTTAAGTTTCCTTCTCGATGGTAATAGTTAACAAGAATCTAAAAAAGTTGAAAGAATTCGTTATCAGAATGAGTAAGCTCGACTACTCTAATCAAACTACTTCGATGAAAGTCTTTAGAAAACCAAAACCAGTTTCATAGAATTCATTTGAAGCTTTTTTGTTTAATAGAGCAAATATTTCTCAGTAAAACAAGACGTTTCCTATCTATCGATGATCGTCCTTTATCGAATTGCATTCCATTTCCCACGGAAAAAAACTTTCTAATAACATTCCAGCTTTAATGAGCGGCCAAAATCAGACCTTTCGTGCGACGTGGTTTTATCAGAAAGTTCTTTTTCGTAGAAAACTGTATGCAGTTCGATGAAGAAAGGTCATCAAGAGATCGGAAGCATCTCGTTCGATAGAGAATCTTTTTAGTTACACAAAGGCTTTTCAGATTATTGCGAACGAGAAGTTAACTTGAATATGCAGCTGTTTAAAATTTTGTTTGCCACTGTACATACTTTGTTATAGACGAAGTATTAGTCAAAAGGTTATAATTTAGCAGAGTATGTACAGTGAACACTTACAATTTCAAAAACCTCTTATGTCTAATCTAACTTATAAGCGAAACATTTAACTCAATGCGATCCCGGCCTTTGATGCACCGAGTCCAAACTCAGAAGTGATTTGCAAGTTAGAAAGATTCCTTCGTGAATTTTCTTGCATATAAAATTTTTTTCAAGCTCAAACAATTGTTAATCAATCACCACCATTATCATCTGTTGATACATTTGTACATCGAAATTTAAATACTGATAGTAATACAAATCAACAAGATCAACGCAATGAGTCTCCTATTGCTCAAGTACGTTCATATGTTGAAAAACAAATGGATCAACTTCAACAAGATCTTGAATTTGGTTTTCCTCGTGCAACAAAACTTTCATCATCAACATCTCATCCTACAACACCTGCACGAGTATTTAATTTATAAAAGAGAAAAAAAACAAAACGATCAATCTCTTTATTTTTTCTAAATACTAGGAACAACAACAACCGGTGACTATTCCCATTGATTTAACAAATGTTTCGTTATCACCATCTATTCAACCAGTAGTACAACAAGATTTTTTACGTTCATCATTAAAAAAATCTTCTTCAACACAAAATCATCTTGATCAAATTCCGTCAAATCGTACATATGGTTTAAAAATAAATCCAAATGAATATGTTATTCATTATCTTGAACCATATACACAACAAAAATTATCATCAAATTATACAAAACATTCTATACCTGATTTACCATCAATGACAACAATTAATCGACCAACAACAGCACATTCATTAGAACATACAATAAATGAATTACGAATAACAATGCCTGAACCACATACATCTCAAACACAAATTATAAATCAACAACAAAAAAAAGTTACAATTCAATTAGGTGGTAAAATACCACCTCAAAGAATTACAAAGTAGAATTGTTTTTTTTTTTTAGTAATAAAATATAAAATTCTATGAATATATATATTTTAGTAAACAACTTCATGCAACATTAAATCAAGCACCACGAAAAACTCATTTTGAAGATCAAGCATGGATTAATGTTGATCAAAGAAAACAAATGAATACGAAAAGTAATGGTCGTCGTTCGGCACCACTTGCACCACATCATCAAGAATTACAAATGTCTAGACAATCAATACATAATTATCAAGATCATCATTCAAGAAATGGACAACAAAGAAATTTTGATGTATCTCCTAATCGACAACAACGAACGTTTGTTTTATTTGAATAGTTTTGTCTTTTTTTGTTGAGAAAAATCTTTTTTTGTTTATATAGAAAATCACCAGTTCGTACAACGAATAATATCAATAATGAGCGAGTTTTATCTGTTAGTGGAAAATTACGTTGTTCTAGATGTAATGATGAATTAGGTAAAAGAAAAAAAAACAAAAGTTTCATTTCATTTTTCTTTTGTATCTGATAATGTTTATTATAGGACAAGGTTCGGCTATGGTTATTGAATCACTTGGACTATATTATCATATAGAATGTTTTCGTTGTTGTGTTTGTAATATTCCGCTTTCATCATCATTTGAAGGTACTGACGTTCGTGTACGACATAATCGACTTCATTGTCAAAATTGTTTTTCCGATGACAATGGTAAGAAAATTTTTATTTTTTTTTTTTTGTTATCTTATAATAAAAATTTATAAATGAGCGATTTCCTTCCCTGACTATTTTCTTAGGAGCCTGGAGATCAAACGTAAGAAGAAGAATTTGCCTTTCTTCTTCACTGTTTCTTTTTGTGTATTATTGCCAAACTATTTTAATGCTTTAACACGTAACACTTTATACACATATTCACATAAGATATATTACAATGATATTGTGTACTGTGAAATAGGAAGGTTCTTTACATTTATTAAAAGTTATATTGATTAAAAATAAATATCATTTGTTAGAATCAATACTAACATTTAGTATTCTATTATTTGAATTGTTTCAAATCTTCATGTCAAAGACAATCAGAGTAAATGAATTTCGATCCAAGTTTACCGTTCATCGAATACAAGTGTATACTCATACTAATTAGTTCACTCTTTATATTATGAATTTCAAAGTAGTTTGTTCGATAGTCTAGCGCATAATGCCATTTGCCGAGCAGAACGCTGGAACTGTGATTTGATCTAAATGCGTACAGTTGAAAGCTAGTTTTTTGATAAATATGCATACTGTTAAGCATTACGGAATGTACGAAGTAGAGTTCGTCGGGTCAAAAATTTGTGAACCCGAATCCGATCTATTCTACGTTGTTGGGACCTGGTCGAGTCATAATTTGATAATCTCAATGGAATTTTCTAAACGGAATTGAATAGTCACCCACGAGAGACTTTCTTGCGCGTTTTTTATTCGGTAGGTAGAGTCTATTCGGTTCAAAATTTTTGAGTCCAATGGCTTCTAATACCAACTATGCGTAGAAATAATGCTTTTTATAGATATTAATGAGGTCAGCTTGAATTCTGTCCGATCTCAATACTTCAACTGCTCAATTTTTTTAATATTCGATTAAATAGTGAATTGTACAGTGATTAACTATCGAACCAAAGTTTTACTTTATTAATTAACTGTTGAAGTCAATTAGAAATCATAGTAGAATGTACGATGAATATAGAATATGATTCGAAGGAAGTGTAGTTTTCACAGTACACATATCATTTGTAATTCACTGAAACACGCTCTTTCGTTCTCACAAGTAAAAAAAATTCGAATTCCTTTATTTCATTTTCCGAATAGCAAAACATTTGAGAAAATATCATACATTTATGCTAATAATTTTTTGCTTTTTTCAGGAAGCTTTATTTTAGTTTCTTCTTGTTTATGTTATTTCGACGAGGTTTGCAATTATTTTTATAATATTGAGGGATATTTAAAAAAAAAAAAACAGAAAAGAACATGATCTTCTCCTTTCTTCTTTTACGCATGTTCAAACTAATAACACTAAATAAATTTTTCTTTATTAATAAATTATCTTCTTTTTTTTTTTTCATATTTCTGTTCTATTTTAGGTGTGAAATTAAGTGCTGTTTAATAACATCGAATAAAATCTCCTTTATCGTTAATCAAATGTCATGAAATCAATATGGTTCTGTTTTCGAATATGAATTCATATACACTCAGAACCGACATTCCACACCGATATGTGGTTTTTGCTCAACAAGAAGAAGAACGGATGAAAACTTTCTTCTTAATGTTTATTTGAAAAGTGTTTCTTGTATATAAATACAGGGTGCTGTTTTCCTTTCTTTTTTTTTTGCTTGTAAAGTTCTTGTTTTACCATATACATATATATATATACGTACATATGAAGAGGCGAACAGTTTTGTTTCTTGCTTTGTTGTTACTGTTGCAGTTCGTCTAGATTGATTATTGTTTATTTCTTTTCTTTATTTCTATTTTCACTTTTATATCTACAAAGAAAATGAAAAAAAAGAAACCGTTCTGTATCTCTTCTAATTGTTAGATTTTATTGTTTTTATTTACTCAGAAAAAAAAATACATAGATAGAATAAGTCATTTGAACAAAAAACAACATAATTTTTGTAGAAATGCTCTATCAAGAAGTCTATCGTCTTTGGCAAATACATCAAAAAACTAATCGATCAATACGAAGTCTTGTTGCACAAAGTTTATATAAGGTTAATGTCATCTTCTTTTGTTTTTGATAATGTTTGGAACCTCCTTTCTTTCTTTTTATCGATAACATATAGAATAAACCACAGTTATTGGCACTTCTTTCAAGAGTTATTCAAAATCGTTCTTTGTTACAAACAATTGTTGATCGATGTCAATTATTAGAAAGAGAAAAATTTTTATCGAATGATTTAGCACTTATTCTTATTTATGATCAAGTTTTTGGAACACGTGTTAGAGGCAAATTTAAGGTTCGTATATCCATATGATATTTTTAAATAGATTATTTGAAATAGTCTCAGAGAATTTTTTAATATTACCTAGTATCAGGCATGCATGGAACCTGAACTCTGGTTCGGTATTCGAATATGGAAAATTTTCCAACCAGTTCAGACAGTGTCGAATATCTGGCTAATTGCCCAAACGTTTCTTGAGATATATGGGTAATTGTGAAACAACTCTAACATTCGAGTTTCAGTACTTTTGAACATTGTTGATTTTTCTTGGAATGTATGTGCACTTTCAGTTTTTGAATCATTTATTCAGTTAGGAATGCAACAGTTGTGGTGATTAACGGATTCGGCATAGGTCGCTGCACCGATCTAGATATGGACGAATAGAATAATGATGAACGCATAATAAAACTATAGTGATCTTAGATTCATTTCGACTTTTTCGACCTGATGAGGTCAATTTCAATACGAAGTAGCTGAATTTGATTAAAAATAACTAGTGAGAGAATCCTCTTCAACTGCCTTCTTTCAGTTTCATTCATTATTTGCCTAAAGATACTAAATAGCGTGCTCATCAAAACTCAAGTCCTTTTAGAGCTTTCATTAGAACATTAAGTAATGTCCATTTCAGAGTTAAATGGCCGTGGGCATTTTTTGAATAACTTTTGATAGGAACGATATAGAGATCTACGGTTTTCACCGTTGAAAAGAGCAGATGAAAACACATCGAACCATATATAGAAAGATTTTGCTAACTACTTTCCTAAAGGTTTAGTCAAACATTTTCAAAGAATTGCTTTTTTCTCCTATGTTAAAAAAATAGCTTTTCTACCAAAATACTACAAAAATTTACATTTTTCGATTATTTTGTTGAAAAAAATGAAGCAGTAAATTGTGCTCCTATGGTTTGGATANACAGAAATGGTCTATAAAAAATCCTATATTTTTGTCACTTTTTATCGAAAATCCTATATTTTAGACAAACTCGATCCTATAAGGATTCCTATATTTTTAAAAAATCGCAATCGGAGGCCAGAGTACTTCTATAGTTTGTTTTATCAAAACAGCCACGGTCTCTTCTTATTGATTAACAGTAATAGTTAAGGCTTCGACCGTTCTGAATGCTTCATTAAAACTAATTAGTTTCGAACTAATAATTAATTGAAGTCTTGCAAGATTAAGAGAAAGGCTGACAAAGTACCTTACAAAGTGCAATGCAAAAAAACATGATAAAAAAAACGAAGGATCTAAGCTAAAAATGCTCGGCACCAGAGGTACTACAAGGAAAAAATTATCTCAACCAGATTTAAGGGTTATAGTTAAATATTCTATGTTATTAAACGAACTATCTTATAAATCGCCAATGACAACATAATTCAAGAGAAATAACCCAAAAACAAAATTCTAAATCATCGACTAAATAAACCCAAAACCGAATATTGTAGAAATTTTTCAGATCTGACACGATCAAATTCTGAAATAGTTTTCTTCAGTCTCGCACCAAAAAATCTTGGTTCCGCTTATCTCTAACATCCGTCCATCATGTATGCTGTTTCTTTTTAGTCAAAGATATAAATCTGTAGACAATTGAACGAAGACTTTATTAAAAAACAGTGTCTTATTATGTTGAAAGATTGCTGAGAAAGATTCAAGATACTAAAAGATCTATTCGTTTAGGTTTACACGTTATTATTTAAAAAATACGCAAAAAAAAACGAATTGTTTTTTCATTTTAGGAAATTGTGCTCAGTTAACAACATTAGATTTAACTCATAATGAACTTGTTGATCTACCAGACTTGATAGGAAATCTTAAAAATCTTAGTCGACTGTTGATCAGATACAATCGCCTCTCGACCATTCCATCATCATTAGCAAATTGTTCTAAACTTGATGAATTTAATATTGAAGGAAATAATGTTTCACAATTACCGGTTTGTGACGTAGTTTTTCTTTTTTTTTTTTATTCTATTCAATTTTTGTTTTATACTCTTTTTCTTTTTGTAATTTTAAAGGAAGGACTTCTATCAAGTTTAGTTCATTTGAATACAATATCATTAGCACGAAATAATTTTAATTCATTTCCATTGGGTGGTCCAACACAATTTACATCTGTACATTCAATTAATATGGAATGTAACACAATTGATAAAATTCCATTTTCAATTTTTTCACTTGCTAAATATTTATCAAAATTAAATATGCGAGAAAATGCATTAACATCGTTGCCATTAGGTAGAAATTTTTTTTATATAAAATATTTTCTTATTTGATTGTATTAATTATTTAATTCTAGATATTGGTTCTTGGACAGCATTAGTAGAACTTAATCTAGCAACTAATCAATTAAGTATTATACCAGAAGATATAAAAAGTTTACAAAATTTAGAAGTACTTATTATGTCGAATAATCAATTGAAAGTAAGAGAAAACAATATCATACTTATCATTTGTGTGCTAAGATGATTCTAAAAGTTAGACTTTTGAAATGATATAATCAATTCAATTAATATAATTAGAACACGAAATTAAGAATAATGTTAGTGAGAATATATTTAAAGTGTAATTGCATCAAATTCACGTTTGCTTTTCTTTTGAATACTCAACAAAAAATAAAATACATATCATAGTGTTGTTGTATAAGAGAGAATTTTTTGAAAACATCTTTCTTAATGTTTCTTTCATCATTGATCAAAATATCTATAACAATTCGAAGAGTATATGCATGGGTTCATTTTCAATTATTAATAATTGTATTTTTTCGTTTGATTCGAAAAAATTCTTTAGACAACAGATTTGCAACATCGTTTAGTTGATTACTATAAAATTTCTCAAGTTTTTCAATAAAGATTTTTTATAATTTGATTTTATCGCACTTATTTTTGATCGCGTGTCCTTTATGCTTAGAAAAGATCATACAGGACAGTTCAAGAATTTCTGTTTAAACTAATACAATCCAATACTTACTTAAGATTGAATTAAATCTTATGTTTTTTTTTTTTATTTTATAGAGAATTCCTCCATCTTTGGGCCAATTACGGAAATTACGACATTTAGATCTTGAAGAAAATAAACTTGATTCGCTACCTCAGGAAATAGGTAAATTACTTGAATTTATGTAGATATACAAGTTTTGTTCTTTTTTTTTTGTCTAGGCTATTTACGTGAATTAACAAGATTGATTGTTGCATCAAATCAATTAACCCAATTGCCACGTTCCATTGGGTAAAAAAGAAAAACTTGTAAAAAAAAAAAAAAAAAAGGAAAGAATTTTTTTTTACGTCTATTTATTAGATCTTTATCAAATTTAACTCATTTAAATGTTGGTGAAAATAATTTAAGTTTATTACCTGAGGATATAGGTCAATTAGAAAAACTTGAACAACTTTATATAAATGATAATCCAAATTTGGATGTACTTCCTTATGAATTAGCATTATGTACGAATCTACAAATAATGAGCATCGAAAATTGTCCACTAAGAAGTTTACCACAAGAAATAGTAGCTGGTGGACCTTCTCTCGTGATACAAGTATATTCATTTATATATCATCATATTTATTTTATTCATCGGTTTTCTTTTGTCTTTCTATTTAGTTTCTCAAAGTGCAAGGACCGTTTAATTTAAATTGATGTCGTATTTATTCTTTATAAAACTATGGATCTCATATTTCTCTCATTTCTTTTTTTTTCTGCTCTCTCTCTCTCTCTCCCTTTTTTCTCTATGTGTATTAGTCAAATCGGTGTGTTTTCTTGAACCGGTAATTGTATGTGTGTATTATTATCATTCTTCTTATTCTTTTCCTTTTAACAAACAAATTTGATAAAAGAAAGAAAATGATTTTGTGTATGGTATATCTTGCATTTGTTTTTTTTTCTTCTCTTTTTTTTTTGCGCTAGACATTCTATTATCCCATCTTTTTTTTTTGTATATACGAGTATGTGTAATCTTTTATACTCTTGACAAATGAATATATGTGTGCGCGCAATCGGTTCTGTATTTTTTTTTTCTGTTTCGCTCTTTGTCCCAGACGTACATAAGACATATAAACATAAATATATTTGCCTTTTCGTTTGTTGTTGGTGCGTTAGCAATTCAAATCGTATATATATATTTATATTTTTCTTCTGCTCGTGGAATTACCAGTCAGAATTAATATGTGTTTATGTGTATGTGCGAGATTTCATTCTGATATTATTATTATTATTTTTTTGTTTAGTTTTTTTCTTGTTCTCTGCTCTCTTGATGTATTTTGACGATCGTATATATGTGCCAAAATTATCTGCATTCTGTTTCACACCGATTAGGTGAACATTAGACAAGAGAAAAATAGATGATAATAATGATGATTGGTCGACAATTTATTTTAATGAAAAAAATAGATTTAAGTTTATTTGTGTGCTTTCAATGAAGAGTACAATAACTTTTCGTTTTAATTATTATGTGATAGAACGTTTTTCGTATTGAAACTTTTTTTTCTAGAGACCCTAGATTTTCAGAAAACTCGAAAATTTTGAATTTTGGTCTCGAACTTTGCTCAAATAGAGAAGTCAACTAGACTAAGTAGTTTCCATGAAAAAAATCCAGACGTTTTGAACAAAGATTATTTGAGATATAAAACTTTCTAGATATAGATTCTTTTCATGGATAATGTAGATGGAGATATGATATTGGCTAAAGATCTTCTCTATAGTTACACTCACACGAATTTGCCATGATACCATTATTCGTTACCTAGTAATGGTAACTATCTGGTAACAATAATCTTCCATTCCTGTTAAGAGAAAACATGTTCTATATGATAACAATGTAGTAGCTATTTCGGTATGTACTAGTATGAAACCAGTAAGCACGCAGAAAGATCATCGATACTTATCAGCATTTTTATATCATTAAGTAGGTGTAATTAAACTGAGTTGAACAAAAATAAAATATTGTAGAACCAGCTAAATGAGTGTCAGGTAACTGATACTATTTGACCAGTTTGAAACTAATATTGGTACGTCTATAATTCTCGTTACAAAACATTTTTGGCTCTGGTGTTCTGCTTAGTAATACATCTACTAGTGAAAAAGGCGATATCATTTTTTAACAGTGTCAATTCGCTTGAGCCGTTTTGCATTGACCTACAATGTCTTCCCTCTTTGAGATTCATTACTCTAATTCCCTAATCCGTCATCTGTTTTATACGTTAATGTATTCGACAACTCTGTTGTCTATGAGAAAAAAACACGCTGCTAGCTTGCTTTACCATTATATTTTAATAATTACAAATATTTTCATGCTTTAGCGCTCATATATTTACCTATATATTCTTACTTGAAAAGATCATAGTCAAAATTTTCAATTTATGGATGTTTACTTTAACTCAGAAAAAAATCAAACAGATTCCTATTACACTAGATCCATTAAACATCGTTGAAAGGAAAGAAAAAACTTCCTAAAATTAAGTCCTTTTCAGCAAGAATAAGTTTGAAGAATAAACTCATTTTATTTCTTTAATATAACACATCAGAGACAAATGAAAAAAAAAAATAATAGTAAATTTTGTTCTATGTATCCATTGCTTCTTGTAATTGATTGGCACTGTTATTTCCAGCAGTCAATGTTGATGATGTATCTGAATGATTAAAACAAGCTGAACCACCACCACCATTTGACCATGCAGTTGCCAATTGAACAAGACGTTCTCGTATTTCAACAAATTTACGTTTAAATTCAATACCATCACCTTTTGATAAACGAAAATCAGCCATAATTTTTGAATCAGGAATTTTGAATACATTCACTTTAAATATTAATTCAGTATGTCGTTTATCTTGTGTAACAACAGTTATCTAAATAATAAAAATCAAAAAACAAAACGAATGAATTAATTCAAAATAAATCATTTTTTTTCTGTATCGAAATAATCTTTTACTTGATTGCCAGCTGTACGTTTAGGTGTATAACCTGTATGAACAAATAATCGATTGAGTAAATAAATTGTTTCATCAAATGATATTGCTAATACAACTCGTGTCATACGATGTACAAGATGTTCTGATGGATCATTCTAAAAACAAAAAAATAATGATTAAGTCTACGATATAAAAGTAAACAAAAATAATAATATTTAACTTACATCACCCATTTCAGTAAGTGATCTTGGTTCAGTTATTAAAATAAGATCATCAAGTTTAATTGGTTGTGATATACAATTAACCATTGAGTCATCTGTTGATGATGATACAACAGGTGTTGTTCGTTGAATCGGTTGTGTTAATGACCAGCATGGTTCTTCGTATTTTACTCTGAAATAAAAAAAACAAGTTTTATGTTAATGTTATATATAATTATACATGGACCAAATCATTCGTTAGTGACGTGATAAAGTATAAAAAAAAATATTCTTACAACCAAGTGAGAAATTCAAAATGAATTCCTAACGATACAAATCCTTTTTCGAAATCTCTATAAAACTAGTTTTTCAGAGGAAGTTTTCAAGTTTTTTTCTCGTACGATTTGAAAATCCGTATATATATGAGCTAAGCTTTTATGCTGATTATAACGTTCATAGTCTTCTCTTTTCCTTCGACCATAGAGTATTCTTTCTTTCCCTTATGTTTTTTGTATCAATGTACATGTATATGAAATGAAAAATAAGAAATTGTGGATGTAGAGATTTATGAGAGTTGATAAGCTTCTATTTCCAAAATTGTTAAAAGTCCTGTGAAATCAAACAGATAATAGAACCTTCGAATCATTGTCATTCGAGAAAGTTAGGATTACTGCTGCAACTCTAATTTTACAAAAGACTGGACGCTCAATTTTATTATGTCTATATTATGATATGAAATCACTGGATTATTCGTAGAGCTTCGCAAGATTTTCGGCAACTCTATAGTACTCGTTTTTTATAGTGTTGATTGACGCTTAATGTAATTCTCTGATTTCCTTTCACTTATATACCCGATTTGAGACTTCTATGAGCAAGCGCACATTTTTTATCATCTTTACAAAACCTTCATAACTATTAAGTTAATTAATAGTCGACTGAAAACGACTATGTTAAAAGAACTTGGTTCAAAAAAACAAATAACTCTTGTAACGAATGAAAGGTAAATATGTTGTCTGATATAATCCGTATATATATATAATAATACATACGCCATTCGTTTTAATAGTTGATGATCTGATTCTGTACCATCTAGAGATGAAAAAAAAATGTTAAATAGATTTCAATGATTAAATTTTCAAAAAAAATTTATACCTTGTGGATAAACTTTTGACATCCATCGATGACTTTGTATATCAATGACTTGAGCACGTTGTCCTGGATCATGAATTAGAATTCGACGAAGAAGATCTAAAGAGAAAAATGAATTTAAACAAAATAATTTATTCAATTTTGTTCATACTAAGAATCATATTATCGATTTTTTTCCATGGATTGTGATAATAATCTCGATCTAGCCAACGTTTGTATTCAGGATTTTGATAAGATGGTTGATCCCATGGTAATTCTACAAAAAAAAAAAAAAAAAAAATTTATACGATATGAAAAAGATTGTATTGAAAAATTTACCTCCAGTAAGCATTGCCGTTAAAATAATACCACATGACCATACATCAACGGGTTCACCTCGATAAGGTGTTTTTGCCCATACCTAAAAATAAAACAATTCAAGAAAATTTTAATCATCATATAACTAACATTCCATTAGCATGATGAATACATACAAAATATGAAAAAAAAAAATATCGCTGAAAACAGTCGGTAACAGTTTCTATATATCCTTAGGCAACTAGATTATCTTCGTATTTCTATTCCATGCTTTTCAATCAGGTGCTTCCTGATTGATTATGCCGTTGGCAGTATACTAATCTATTGGAAACAGTTGATTACATCGTTATATGCGTATTAATCAAAAATGGCTTTCTTTTTTTTAAGCTAATATTAAGTATGAGAATAATTTTTATCTTTCACGAGCATTGCATTCACTATTAAAAAAAAAACAACATTCGGCACGTATGTATCTCTATTCATTAGGAACTAGTTTTATTTAGTATGATGAAAATCGTTATTTAACTCTAATGAATGCTGATCGAGGGTACAGCTTTCTAAGAAAAACTTCTTTCTTCACTAAGTTATACACTTAGTAAAATTGATCTAGTACGTCTCTATTGCCCATATATGTTCAAACATATATCCCTTTCTAATCATTCGTGTCAATCGAAATATTACCAACCACCATCAAAAAGACTAAGATAACTCGCTAAGACGCTATTCTCCTTTTTCTACAAAGATTAATAACAGAAGATGCAAAAGTTCTATATTGGTTTTATTTTTAGTATAGCATGAGAACAACTTGTCGTCAAGACTTGATAGGTGACTGAGTAAAGTATGTCCTGCACGCTGCTGAAGTTTAGAAAACTTCTATCCACTAAGAAAATTGAACTTATCATTCATCGGGTGTTTTGTAGAGCTACAATAGGACATTATAAAGAGGTGAAAATAAAATTTTCAAGTTATCGATATTTTTCTAATAGCCTTTGCTAGCGTAAAGTGTTCACAACTTCCGAAAAATAAGACTTTTCCGCCACAATCGTGACTAATCAAATTCAATGTTTAGTGAACCATTGACAAAAGCACATTAAATAAAACTGAATATTAAACATCATTGGCCATTGTAGAATGAAAAACAAGTTTTTAATAAAACTGTTTTACTATGGAATATTGTAGTTTTGTAACTCGAACATTTTGATACATCTAGAAAATTCACGTTGTACTGGTTACGTTCACACATTCACAGTCAAACATGTGTTCAAAAATTTTTCATCCTTCAAAAAAGTATTTTGAACGAAATATTTTTACAACTTTCAAATAGAAATTTTGTTCTTTCTAACAAGAAAACTATCGAGTAATGATGAGCCGGACCAATCGTTTATGATTCTAGTCAGAAAAAAATTCCATCCCCTAACCATCTTGTTCCTAGTTACTATCGAGTCTCCGCAACAAGTTGTTGTTCCGCTATACGGAAAACAAAATCAACGCAGAACTTTTGTACCATATGTTATCTCCGCTTTACAAAAATCATAATTAGTTTCATCTAATTATAACTAGAGACACTTATCTTTACTGTTTATAAAGATTGGAAAATTACCTCTGGTGATGAATATGGTGCTGTGCCACAATACGTGGTCAATCTTCGTTCGTCCTTTGTTGTTTGGCTACGAAAAAGTGTTGCTAAACCAAAATCACAAATTTTGAGTACATCTAACAATCATCAATAAATAGACAATAATAATCGAATTTTTTTAACCTTACTGTTATTAGCAATGAGAAGATTTTCTGGTTTAAGATCTAATTAACAAAAAGAAGATAAAAGAAAAAGAAAAACAATTAGTTTCTTATCAAACCTCGATGTGCAACACCTAGACCGTGAAGATAAGCCTAAAAAATATTTTAATAAATTATTTCCTTTTCTTTTAAAACCTATTCATACCATTCCGGCAACAACTTGTTTGAAATAATGTTGTGCTAGATATTCAGGCATTCCAACATCTGGTTCTAAAAAAAAGTCAAATAAATGCTTTCTTTTCTTTGTTTTGTTTTTCATTAAAAAAAATCTAACCAATTTTATCAAAAAGTTCACCACCAGCAGCATATTCCAAAAATAGATAATAATTTGAATATTGTTGTTTATAACCATAAAATCGAATTATATTTTCATGTCGAAATAATTTATGTAAATCAATCTAAAGATTTTATTTTTTTTTCGTCCTTCAAAATTAAAACAAATTCATACTTCTTTTCGTATGACAACATCATTTCCTTTTAATCGATTTATGTCAATAACTTTAACAGCTGCAAATTCATTTGTATTAACATTTTTAGCAAGAACCACTCTAAATATACGAATAAAAATAAGTGAAGAAACTTTTAATTCACATACTCGCCATAGGCACCTTCACCCAATGTTTCTGTAAATTGCCACATGATCAAAAGTGACAAGTATAAGAAAACATAGATTTAGTCGTTATTCTTTGTTTTATATATTTACCTCGCTATATTTTGATTGGATTAAATTAAAAAGATTAAATTTTTAAAAAATGAATTTCTTTTTTTAAATATTTTTTTATAAAAATTTCAAATAGATTTATTACAAAATTTTATGATGATAAAAAAATTATTCATTTTTTGATAGGTCAATTTCATTGATACGAAAAATAACGAATAGTGAAAATTAAAACGAATCATCGATAAGACATATACTGTCAACTTGAACATTGTTTTACAGTCTTGATTGCTATTTTAACTTCTTTTAAATGAACATATGTGCACGTTTTGTCTTCGTGCTCTCTTCATCATTTATGGCTAATGCACTGAAAGTGCTGTTCTTTGTTTGCCATAACTGTACATATCAAGGAAAGCGATGACATCACAATAGCATCTTGCATTAAGTGAAAAATTCAATTATTTTGTAATAACAGCGATAGTAATGGCATACCATAATGTGATTTAGCTGAAAGACCAAATAGCTCATTTGGTTCTATATCCAATATTTTAAAATGAAAATTCAGAAATCTTGACATAATAAAACTAAATGAATTGTACAGCAACGTTCACCAAATTTACAAAAATCGAGAATTTCACGAAACAAAGCAGAGTTTTTTTTTTCTGTGGCAAAATTTTGAGTTTCATAAAAACTCAAATGATGAAAGAAAAGAAAAACATATGGAATGGTCTTTTATTATATTCTAAAAATTTCTTTTTTTGTTTTATAGTAAAATACATCACATCTCCCATAGACAAACACTTTTGAAAAAGTTCCGACGATGTTTATTTAAGAGAAGTTATACTATATAGACAACTAAAATAGTATTTCCAATGACAGATGTACCAAGTCGAAGCAAAATATACTAAATATCTGCTACTTTCG